CTTGAAAAGAGATAAGAGCTGTAACAGCTTATAGCGGCAAAGAGAATCCAGTCTGAAAGCTGCTGCTACCAACATATAGGCTGAGAAGGGATTCTGGCAACTAGGTGTTCATGGGGCATTTCAAGCTATATTCATGGCAAGCAGCAGTCTCTCTGTATTTGACTTCTTTGCAAGGACATGGTTTAGTGGGCATGGTGGTGCTGGGTTGACGGTTGGACTCGATGGTCTTAGAGGTCTTTTCCAACCTTAATGATTCTATGATTGCCAGTCCTTAAATAGTTTAGAAGGAAATTCCACATTCTATCAGCTGAAAATGAGGTTTGTCATGCATATTTTCATTTGGTAGCATGCTTGGACCACTCCAGGGGAATGGGAAAGGAAGAAGCACCTCATCCAGCCCAACAGGCAAAATCACAACTGAACAATGCCTGCCTTCACTAAGGAAAATTTGTTGTATGGAAAAAAAACCCCAACATCGTGTTTTACCAAGCTCATCATCTGGCAATACTCCAAACATGAGGGCAGTACCAATAGCCCTTCTAATGTTCTTTCGGGGCATTGCCTTTCCTCTGAATGGACGCAACAAGAGCTTTATGCTGCCAGCAGCACCTCTGTCCTACAGAGCGCCTGAGCCTAGGAAAGGCACTCATACCCACGGCAAGCCTAAAGACTCTCAGATAAATAAGTGCCTCGGTTAGGTGTCAGCGTGGGCCAAGCAGAGATCATGGATTGGTGAAGAGACCAGATACTGCACCAAGGTGCCCTGCAGCACTTCTGATATCACTCATGATCTCCATAACAGTTTGCTACAATTGTTTTCCTGAATTTCTGTTGTTTGTGAACTGTGTTGGCAACAAGTACTGAAATCTACTCTAGTCCAAAACAAGCCAGTCAGTTAAATCAGTATTTTTCCTACAAATACTTTAAAGAAGCTTAGCTACTTGTACAAGGTATATGAACAACTTCCCCATTTGCAGAAGAGCCCTACAAATACTTTAAAGAAGCTTAGCTACCTGTACAAGGTATATGAGCAACTTCCCCATTTGCAGAAGAGTTTCCTTGAATTTGGCTGAGTCCACCTTTCATCTGAATTTCTGGAGGAAAATCAAAGTAAGCAGAAGGGAACAGCTATATTCACCCACAAGATATCGAGTCCCATTAGTGCTTTAAGCTTCCTTCAGCCACAAATATCCAGCATGAAACAAGTCCAGCAGCACTTCCTACCTTTGCAAATGAAAGTTGAAGCAGCCAAATATGCACCAGGACAAGATTCAAAAATACTTCCAATTCATTTACTGTGAAATAAGATGCTCATCACAACAAATAAAAGAAATAGCTGAATCAATAACACTTAGAAGAGCATAAGTGAGCAGCCAAAAGAAACCTGCCAAGGTCAGCTACCTACCTTCCGAAAGAAAATGTTAGAGTAACCCAGTTACAGGTCTGTGTTGCCAAGATATAATCTGCAGAAGCCAAACAGACTTAAGACCTTCAGGGGGTTTTAGCTCAAACACGCTGAACGGACCCAACAGTGCAGGAAGTGGTATGAGATGGGCTGTCCAAAATCAGAAAAAGTCATTCCTGCCCCAGATGCTGTCTCCAAGCACAACTGCTACTGACCACAGATGGAAAGACCATTAAGAAAGACCAAAACTTCCAGCATGTCCTCCCAGCTTGGGCAGTTCACAGGTTACTAAGCTAGAACTCACTGAGCTTCTCAATAGGTAAAGCATTTTATATGAAGGGATAGAAAAAAGTGCAGGGATAAGAGACGTCTAAGCTGTATGGCATCCCTTTCTGCTCTCCCATACCTATCACTAAAAGCAGCTTTTTAGGGTTCAGACTTTTTCAATAAAACAGTTAAAAGCAAGTGTAGGTACATACAATATTATGATAATTTTTAATAAGAGATCCTGATTTCTCCTTTATCCACACCCTCTGAAGTGCTCAACACCCACCTTCCAGGCTTTGTAGTGACAGGTTACACAGGGATTCAACAGTAAGAGATACAGCTTACATCAGTCTTGTTTCTGTAAGTTATCTAGCAAAGGTACTTGGATGAAAAACATTCCTAAATTTTTACAGTCACAGGAGATGCCAAGAGAGCATTCTGCCAACACACGTGAAGGGTGGGGAAACGTAGCAAAAAAAGACTTGCTGCACATCTACTCCATTGTGCTGACAAAGCTTAAATACTTAACACCTCTAACTTAGAGAGCAATGAAGCCATCAAACAACATCTCAGAAATAAAAGATCAACCATTATTGTCATAGTTTGAAAAAAAATTTTTGAAAAATCCTTAAACCAGAGACAGCCATCACATCTCACCCTCTTCCTATTTCAAACCTTCCCTTTGGGCAGTAAGCTCCTTGGAGATGCAGGTGAGCAAGACTAAACTGGCCAAGGCAACATCCACCCTGAAGGAGATGACACATGCCCTATGGATGCAGGTTATCAACGCTGTTTCTGTGGCTTTGCAGAATTCAGTATACAAAAGCAGCCGCAGTGTGGAAATCTCCTCTCAATTCTTAGGTCTGCTTCACATCAAGCACCTCATTAGGCCTGGTTGCATCCATCATGTTTGAGTACTATGTTCAGCTCTGGGGCCCCCAACATAAGAATGTGGACCTCTTGGAGCGAGTCCAGAGGAGGGCCACGAAGATGATCAGAGGGCTGGAACACCTCTCCTATGAAGACAGGCTGAGAGAGTACTTAAAGGGGGCTTGTAAGAAAGACAGAGAAAGACTTTTTACCAGGGTCTGTAGTGACAGGACAAGGGGCAACAGCTTTAAACTGAAAGAGGGTAGATTTAGATTAGATATAAGGAAGAAATTCTTCACTATGAGGGTGGTGAGGCACTGAAACAGGTTGCCCAGAGAAGTTGTGGATGCCACATCCCTGAAGCGTTCAAGGCCAGGCTGGATATGGCTTTGAGTAACCTGGTCTAGTGGAAGGTGTCCCTGCCCATAGCAGGGGGGTTGGAACTAGATGACCTTTAGAGGTCCCTTCCAACCCAAACCATTCTATGATTCTACGTTTGGCCAGATCACACGCAATAAAACCATGGGATGTAGGCACTCACCTAGGAACTACTAGAAGGCTCACCTTGGTACTTAAGACAGGGAGTAACATTGCACAAAGCATCCCTTTACATTCACTAGTGTGAACTCTGGGTTATGATAACAAGCAACAAGGCAGTTCAAGCCCTTACTACACTCCTAGGCCCAGGACCTTGGCATTACTACTCAGGCAGAAAAAGCCCCAAATGGTTTTCTATTTTGGACCTGGTACAGCCAGGCAACAGAAAGGGGTGCTCTGATCACTCAGGCTGATATCTTAAAGCCTGTTTTGGTTCATGACACTGCTGGTGCAACCATGGCATACCACCACACCAGCGGGACACAAAGCATGCTGAAAACTCTGTAACTGGGCTGCAAAACTAAACAGCTTTACCAGGCACAAGCAGAGCTGTTCATGGAGGTTACAGCTTCATCTCCCAAAAGACACAGCCACTTTGGCTGAGTGCTTTGGGAGACTGGATTCAAACGGCAGCTGGAAAGACACTGAAGAGCAGCAGGAAGATGCAGTGTAGTCAGGTCACCAGGGCCAGCCCTCAAAGAAATAAGTGCAAGGTAGTGGATGCGAAACCACAGCTTCAGCCCTTTGCATTGTGAAAAGGAGAGAGCAGGCTAGTGGATCTGGAGCTTTGGGAAGGGCAGGAATGAAGAGGTCTTCTCTTTTAAACCAGCCCAGAAGGAAAGAGCCGGTGGAGTCCTGACTCATGCCAACTCCAGTCAGGACTACTTAAGCTAAAGGAATAAGGATAATCTCCAGAAAGTGATTATGTGATAGCAACAGCAGCTTCTCATTGTTGCACTACCCTGCATGATCTTCTCAAAGAGGGACAGTTTCAGTGCCCCAAAAGACATTCAGTGGTGAAACAAACTCTGGCAAAAGTGGGCTTTTGTCATGAAGGTACATTGTGTGCAGAGAATGACTCCCTCCACTCCAACCCACACAGCAATCTGAGGTCGGTTTTATAAGATAAGTACATAGAAAGACAGAGCTTGGAAACACGCTATGTTCCCACAAATCCATTAAGATGGACTAGCACATGTGAAGTGTGCCACGGCATTAAAGGCAGTTTGTGAAGAGCAACCATGATTTAGGGAACTCTGTCGAAGCAGAAGATGATGTTAAATAGCATGGTTTACCTGCTACTCACTTTCAAGAGACCTTTGATGCTAGTTTATCTAATCATAACATTGTTCACTGTACTTTGAACTCTCCTAGAAGCCAATAGTCACTGGTTTTAAAAATAGTTTCTCCAGCTTCACTTGCCATTTTCTCTGCAATGCTCCAAGTTTCTTGCCCTCCACAGTCTCCAGTTTGCCATCAGGCATCTGGCCAATATGCAGCATACCTCTCTGTGCTTTTATCTCTGCAATCCAGAATTGAGTGGCTCTGGTTTCAAGCCAGCAGTTCCCACATTGCTGGATGCACATGAGAAAGGCTACCCCTAACACACCCCATGCAGGGTATACAGGACTCTACAGTACCTTTCCACAGGCATGCACAGTGCATCAATTCAAAAGAAATAACGAGATTGTTATCCTATGCAAACAATATTTTACTTAGAATCAATCATTAAATGCTTTTACATTTGAAAAAGATATTAGCAGAATACTCAAAGAAAGCCAGTATATGCATCAGTTTGGTGGCTAAATCATGATATTTAGTTCATTTTCTATTTCTTTCATATTTAATGGACCCATCTTAAAATGTTGCAGAAAAACTTGATGTTAACATAGGGGTCAAAACTGGACCACTCAGCAGTATATGTTCTTTTTAAGCAAAAAAGGTTCAATATCAATGTTATTTTCCTCCCCTTTTTTTTTTCTTTCCATTTAAAAATAGATTAACATCCTTCACAGGACCATCTTCTCTACACTGCATAAGGTGCCCAAATGTTAAGGGCTCTAATGAATTCAGGGGTTTGCTAGTCAGAAGGAACAACAAACACGTCGTTTTCTACTGCCTTCTTCATTGGGCGTTCATACTGCAGGGAAGGAAAAAAAAAAGATAATGAAAAACACTTCAAAAGTTTGTATAAACATTTATATTGCATAAGAAAAGAAACTAGAGATCCTAGAAGCACATTTAGATTCAGCTTTTAATCCGCAAGCACCCATCCTGGAACAAGGTGCTGCGGGATAAGCAGCTCCCATGATACCATTGCTTCTTCCTCAGCCCTGCCCCTCTTTAAAGGCGTCCTTCATCAGGAGCACCTCTGCTAAGGGAAAGGCCTGGGTCACTAAGCAACTCTGCTCATGATGGAAACTTTTCCCTATGGAAAGGCTCAGGATTCCAGCTTTAACAGCTAAAAGACACAAGCCCTCGGTTTTCAGCATCTTTTCTAAAATCCCAGGCCCAGTCTACTGTAATGACCACAAGCATGGTGGTTTCTTGAACACAGGGAGCTTTCTTCAGCTCTGTGCAGTGCAGACACATGGCATCACACACATCATAGTAACCCATCAGTCTTATTGCAGGAATGCTAAACCCCCAAAGCCATCAGGTCTGCACATAAAAGCTGGAACCGCAACAGTAGCAAAAAACATGCACATGTGATGGGGTGGGCAAGATGGAAAAAAAGCATTGTATCAAAATTAACAGAGTATTCAGCTTAATCTACAAATTAAAACAAGGGCATAAGCTAGTGATTAGACTCTGAAGAGTTTAAGAACTTAAACAGAATATTTACCTGGGATACAAGGTAAATGAATAAATTTGGTTTTTAGAAATCAAACTTGGACGCATCAAGGCTAGATGTTGCCAGACCCAAAAAGCAGATGAGAGAAAGCATGCAAGGTGTTGTTAGGCTGCAGAGCTCCTAGCCACAGGATGCCATGGATGCACAACTCCAAGGGCAAGTGGGACAAAGTGACAGAAGAGAACTGCATTAAGTGTCACTAACTACACAGAAACAAGCCTTGGGATGAAGGAATCCCCGAGATATGAACCCAGGAGAAGCATCACTACCTGATAGTCCTTGTCCTTACCTTCTCCCTTAGGCAAGTGCTTTTTGACCACTTTTCCTAATCCCTAGCAGGGCAAACACTGCTTTCTCAACGCTTTCCATGCATCAGGACTGGGGGTCCCACAAAGAACCAGCCCCACAGATCAGCTAACCAAAGGTTTCCCCTCCCAGGACTTCAGTTTCATTTTCTCACTTCCAACACTTATCAGTCAGGCCACAGCTCCGAGTCCACCACCTGTACAGAGCTGCTTGCGTACTGCACATACCGTTGTATTCTGGATAGAGTCGGTAAAACTCTTTGCTGTTTCACCCAGGGCTGAGTCAACAGACTGAATTCTGGAAGAAAAGTGAGCTTGGCTAGTTTGTCTGTGAAGCGTTAGTACTTACTGATGAAACTTGAACAGAGATATTTACCAATAAAAATGAACCTGAGGATTCCCCCTTTTGCAGCTTTTTGCCCAGTATTTGCACCAACGGTATCTTTTATATAGGAAATGATCGCCTCCTTCCACCTCCTCTGACCCCTAGATACAGATGTGACCAGAGAGTGCACCTTGTTCCAGATCCTGGTACAGGTCTCGAGGTATGTGCCTGTCTTGCACAACTTCCCATGCAAAGTGTCCCTCATTGCACCCTAGCCCCAGTCCAAAACCTTCACGAGGCTGCAAAGGCTCCATCAATGGACATCAAGTGGAGATGTTACACCAGGTTCAGAATACTTCCCGATATACCAGCAAGGGTACCACCAGCCTAACTAGTGCCCTCTTTGACCAGAGGACTTGTGAGCATGCAGGACAGCTAGTAGAGACGTACCTTTGCTTTTGCTGGTTGCAGAAAGAATTCAGTTTGAGCAACTGTGCATTCCAGAAGTCCTAAAAGAACCCCAAAGAAAACCCCCATTACTTGGGAAGGGGTACCTCCGCAGGCTGGCACACGAGAAGTCACACACACCACTGCGTCCTTCTCCATGTTTGCCAAGATTTGAGTTTCCTTCTCAAGACTGGCAAGCTCTTCAACAACAATCTTCTGGAAGGTCTCCAGCTTACTCAGCCTAGTGATAGAGAACAGAAACAAATTTGACACTTTAATGTGCCGTAGCACAAGGCAGATGACAGCCCCTTCAGCACCAAACCTGCCTTTAGGCAGAAGCAAATGTCCTTGCTGTCCTTGGGGCAGTTTTGTTCCCAGGTATGTCACAGAGCACATGAACGGCTGTACCAGGTCAAACTGAAGATGAGTTTAGCTAAATAGCCTGTCTCAAATAGCAGCCGGTAGCGGAAGCCCAGGACAGAGTGTACAACAGGATTCCCAGTGCAATACTTACCCTGCATACTCTCCCAGCCTCCAGGGATTTCAGCAGAGATTTTCCAAACTGAAGACAGCATCTTGGCACAAATAATCTCTGATGGGTTTTCCTACCATGGGTTTGATATACACATACAGCGTTGCCACAGGACGCCAGTGATTTCTAAACCTTAACCAGCAACACCCTTATTTGCTTGGGTTTGCCACCTTTCCCCTGGCAGTGGGATGCCAAGCCATCATCTGATGGTGACTTTAGAAACCACCCTTCTGGGGTAGGACAGATTTGCTACAGCTCTGTCCCCACTATCCTGCGGCTCTGCTTGGCTCCAGGTTACTTAGTTAATAACATCAAAGCACGGCAGCAGCTCACCGCCATCAACTCTTATCTTCCACCCCGAAACGTTCCCTGGTTTTGTTTTTGGAACACAAACTTCTCCATGTACCTTAACGACAAGCAAATTCTGCTCATAGAGGTCCTATTGATACCAGGGATTTTGCACTTTAAAGGCTATTATTTCATACTATGTTTGATCTAAATCCTGCAAACTGAATGTGTAGTAGATATGGAGGCCCGATAGACTTACAAGCACAGCCTGAGATATGAGTATTTGCTTATAACAAATCTGAAACTGAATGTGTAGTAGATATGGAGGCCCAATAGACTTACTCATATCTCAGGCTGTGCTTGTATTTTGCTTATAACAAATCTATAACTATTATAATTGATTTTTTTATTTAGCTGCTGAGAAATTTGACAACCCATAAAGCAAAATGACCTGCTTAAAGCCCTATCTGGTGAGTGCCTATGAAGTCCACTAGCTGGCATTTGTTTCATGCACATGGAAACAATCTACAGAAATGGGTCTATAACAGACCCCTTACTTTTCTTCTTCCCCACTTAATTAAGTAAATCAGAGTCTGGCTTCTTTCTTAAAACATGTAGAAACAGAAGCTACTAAGTGTAACAAGAGGGTTTTTAAACAAATTTGTGAACACTGATGACAGTCAGAAGGCAGTCTAAGGACTGCTTCACCAACTGCTCTTAATTCAAGCTTGCTTTGCATTAATTAATCCATCCACTCTCCCCTTACAGGAAAAGCAGGATAAGTCACAGGAGCTATGCTTCTGAAACTCTTCTTACAGAAAAGGAAAAGAGAGAGAGACACGCAAGATATTTTGCCTTACAAACCATAATGAGCGCAGTAGCTTACTGTCAGGTTCATTTATGAAGAGGCATTTCTTTTCATAACAAAATTTACACAAAGCTGAAGCTGTTTTCAGCCAGCAGCAGACAGCTTACCTGCACTGGTGTATCTGGTTCAGCAGGGCAGACACGTTCTTCTCCGAAGACCTGAGGGTGTTCTGCGCGCTCGTCTCCATCCTTTTGTACCGGGACTAACCACAGGACGTGCCGTTAGGGATGGGCAATGGCCCAAGCCAAAACCTAGAAGTCTAGTTTGCAAAACCTTTCCCTGGAAGGCAAACCCCTCCGCAGGCTGCCTTTCAGCTTAGCAGAAACCATCTTAAGTCAAATTTAAACTGAAGTGAGATGACGTGTGGGCAAGGTACTGCAAATATGAACTGATTTCGTTTGACCACACTAGTTACACCAACAGACCTCTATGAACCCTTGCGACTTCAGGTCAAGGTCATGCTATCCAGCCAGCAAAGAAGCAAATTTCACCTATACGCCAACACACTTAGCTGCACAAAACCAGGTCTTTGTTAGCACCACTTCAGACCAGCGTTAATGCAAACTGTTTACATTTTAATCATAACTGATTTGTAAATGCAACCACGTCCAGCTCTGATTCGAGGACTAGTGTTAAAAATTTAATATGAACACCTAACACCAACTCAAAAAAAAGTCACGGTTGCACAATACAAAATGCTGATCCAGTACAAATCTGCTCTTGGGCACAAAATACAGATGGGATATTTACACCAACTCCCCTGGTGATAAAAAGGTAGTTTCATTTACTACAAGAAAATGCCGTACACAGCACACATTAAGAGAGTGCACATTACCCAGAACAATTTCTTTAGTTGGCCGATAAAGCTTTCAAATGCAGTAATCACCCCTGAATCAGTGAAGTCTTCACGCAGCATCTTGGAAAAAAATGCGTCATCCACACCATCACCCATTTCCTGACCTAGGAGAAAGCATATGCCCAGTTAGTACCGTGCCGGAGGGCTTACTGGAATATAAACCCTCGTGCTACTGAAGGGTTCATTGTTCATGTGAACAACAACATTTATTAGAAAGCTCAAATTTGAGTCTTGCTCTTCTAGAGCTCACAAACAGGAGGGAAACTGTCCCAAAATGCATTGAGAAAGACTTGTTAGAAAGCAGCATGGAAGAATAGGCACGATACTAACCAAACACAAAGAACAACATATTTACAGATAATGAGGCAAAAGCACAGCACAACGAAAAAAAAAGTCAGGCTACTGTTTTCCTGTCTTCTACTTATTCATTGTGAGGAAAGCCTAACCCCCTTCTGTTCAGAGTTAGCAGTGTTTTGCAGTTACTTTGTCCATTATCTGCATGCTTGTTTCAGTTTATTTTTTTTTTTTTTTTTTTTTTTTTTTAATAGTTCTGGACAATCACTATTCAGAAAGACTAGAAAGTGCTGGCATCGTTGAGAGGCTTCCTGACTGGACCGTGGTTAGGGAACCCAAATTTCCTTATTCACACCTCTACATATGTGGTATCCAATGGCAGTGCCGCAATACATGCCTTCTGCTACATTTTGACTTTTGGAGAAGACATCCTCCCTACAGACACCTCTCTTCAAGCTCCCACGTGACTATGATTTCTACCATCAAAAAGAAAAGCTTAAAGCATTTAAACACTTCACCTTAATTGCCAACCTGACTTTACCTGTTTGGATCTCCGCTTCCTTCTCTACTGAATCAAAAAGTTTCCTTGGTTTACAGGAAGTGTCAGAGGACAAATTACTTGTTTCCCAACTGGAAAATTTAGGCTTTTTTATGACAGTGCCGCTTAATATATCTAGAAAGAGAATAGGAGATGTTTCAGAAAAGACCTGTTCTTTTGCATGAGGTATGTGGCAGTACCTACCAGCTACTCAAGCAAAAGCCACCACCGGAATTACCAATCCTGCAGAAAAGCAGGCAACTACATTTTAGGGTCTGGCATCACACTTACAGGACAGGATAAGACTTCACCAGCAAGTCTCTTCCCTCGCAAAAGCGGGCAACTAGACTGCCTAGTGCTATGCAGATAACTGGAAAGCTACCGTATCTCCATCTTAAAGACAACTTCATTTCTTGGCCCACTATTCTAACCAGAAAGAAAACTCTTGCCCAGCTTCTTCCCCTTCTCTTTTCCAGCCCAAGCTCACAATCTGTTTATGCTCATTTGCTCCCGAGATAATTTCAGCTGCTGCTTAAAAAAACAAAACAAAACCCACAAACTAGAGTTGCCATAGAATTACTTTTAACCCAGGAAAACCCTTAGAAACATGGTGAGGGAGACTGCAGCCCATATTTTAAGGAAAACTTGCAAAAAAAAAAAATCATCCCTTTGTCTCACTGTCCACTTTTCTGAGCTCAGTGAGGTGTCTGTGTTTGACCAACCACCTCTCTGGAGTCTCCATAGGGCAGAAAGCAGGAAGGTGGTGGAGCCCAGGACAAGGGGGACAGTCAGACCACAAGGAGCACACTGAAGTAGATTTAGGGTTCACGGAGCCAGTGTTCAAATGCAGTCACAGACCACACCTGAAATTTCTGAACATAGCCCTACTTCTGCCTTTGCATGGTATCAACTCCTCTCCCACTGTACAATAAACAGCGATAAAAATTAAGTCCTCAGCACTTATCTTCCCCCAAAATTAAGCAGGTATGTTGGTGCAGTGAAGGTATATTCTGCAAATGCTGAACAGGTAAGAGACATTTTGGGAACGTGAACATAGCCAGCTCACGAGAAAGGGAATGCTTTTGTCTGAGACCAAAGCTTCAGTGACTTGGTTCATAGTCACAACAATAACTTTAAGACAGTCTCTCTCAGAACTACATCAGCATCAGGAATATTACCATGAAGACAGCCCATTGCTGCTGGACTTGCTTGAAGTTCAGTTGTTTCCAGTCACAAAGTGACTGTGCTGCAGTTTTGAATTAGTTTATGCAAGTTCTGTTTCATTAAAGAAATGTCCTTAAATGTCACTTACCTAAGTGACCTAAAGCTACAGCAGTAATACAAGTCACCATTTACCAAATGCTTGTAATGATGGTCTGCACCTATATTCTCAGGTATAAAGAAAGTCAACAACTTTCATTTTAAAAAATAAGCATCTCGAAGTTGCACTGCACTTTCAAATTGTTAAAAATTAGTTTTCAGGCTCATTTTACTTATTTCACATATTTTCTCTCGGGTCACTGGGTTTGTAAATCACCAGCTCTTAATAGCTACACTAGTAGTACCCCCGTGATCAAGGACAGGATTTAAGAGTTAGTGATGAACTCAGGAATGTATATGAAAGCATCTTCCCATAGCCTGTCACGATATTCAAAACAGATAAATGGAAGATATTTCTTATGCAAAAAGTATCCTTCAAATATCAAAAAGCTCAGTGCCTACTTGTCCTTGAAAGAAAAATGACAACTCCATCAACACCCCTTTCTACTTTTTAAACAGCTCTTCCACATTACCGAGACTGACAAACCTGAGTCCTTCCGCTTAAAACTTTCTTCTTCTCTTGACAATTCACCAGATGCATCATGAAACTTCTAAGGAGAGAAGGACAACAAAGTAAGAAGGTACCCATCCTGCACTGCAGATAAGCTGCCAGGGACTTGTCTAGTTATAGGAAGCAAAGCGACATGATGCACTGGTTTTAGATGAGAAGTAGCCTGACAGCAGATTAGAAGGAGCTTAAATGCTGCGTACTGCACCTGCGTGGCCTTCTCCTCATCACTGGAATAGCCCTTGGCAGGCACATCAAGTAATAGCGGACCCCCTTCGAGCTCCTCTGAGGGCGTTTCATCTGCACGAGAGATCAGCCAAACAACACAGGCAATAGAGGTTGAATCCTGTATTGACTAGAAACCTCAATTTAATGACATGCACAGGAAAAAAAAAAAAAAAGAAACCACCACCCTTCTCCTTTATCTGTTCACACAGGAAACAGACAGTGACTTAAACGCAGTCCAAAGGCTGTTTTATTTCTGGCTGCCAGTTAAGGTCATTCCTTCACCTCTCATTAGCCCCAGCTAATGTTTTCCCTGCTCAAGAGACTATCCACAAACAACATCCAGCCCTCACAGCCATTACAAGAAATATTACAAAGCAGAATGCTTATGAAGAAAACGTGAAGGAAAAAGGCAAAATTAAAAAACAAAAAAAACCAACCACACTACACCCAAAAACCACACACCCACACAACTTTTCTAATGCATTGAAGAAGATCAAAAAAGAAATACCAGCAAGATCCACTGAAGGTAAATCATCTCCCTTGGAGCTAGATGTGCTTTTTTTCCTTTCCTTTTGAGCTCTTTGCCTTGATGCTCCCTGCTAAAACAAAACCAAGTCTAAGCATGTATTTTATTTAAACATTACTACAGAAGTAGGGGTTTGGGTTGGTTTTTTTGGGGGGAGGGTTTTGGTTGGTTGGTTGGTTTTTTAAACACACTAAGAGCAAAGATACACTTGAAACATGCCTAAGATACTGATAGCTCTCTCCAACACCGAAGGAGACCTGTGCCCTGAAGTTCTATGTGTAAGTTCTCCCTTTAGCCATTAGAGTCGTATAGTGGATGAAGTTTTTCATAAGCAGAATCAAAGCATTTTAGTCAAGAGAGAAAAGAAAAGGTTTCCAGGGGAAAACAAAAGCTTTTAATTCAACTAGCAGTTCTGGAGAGTTTTTTCCCAAAAATTTCTGTATTTCTGTGGGGACCTTTCCAAAACATATGATACATAGCACTTAACAACTGGGCACTGGAAAAGTCTGGCATTGCTAAACTGTATTTTATTTTGCTTGGTGTATGTCTGGTCCACTAATTCCCCCATCAGTATAATCCATGGTTAGTCTTCCCAGAGCTATAGCTGAAAGTGGAGAAGGACAGTACATGAACCAGGTCTCAGCTCTGTGGGGACCTTTCCAAAACATATGATACATAGCACTTAACAACTGGGCACTGGAAAAGTCTGGCATTGCTAAACTGTATTTTATTTTGCTTGGTGTATGTTTTGTGTCTTGTTTCCTCCTTCCGTCTTCTGTATGGTTCGTCTTCCCAGAGCTATAGCTGAAAGTGGAGAAGGACAGTGCATGAACCAGGTCTCAGCGTCAATGTAGGACTTGGAATAAAAGCCCTGAAAATTGCTAGCGAAACGCAGAGGAGAACACGAGCTTTCCCAAGGCACCAGCTGGCAGGACGTGGCAGAGGACAGCATGGGGACACAGCCTCGTAGGACCCAACTGGGATTTCTGCAGGTATTTGGATAGGCAGCTCTAGCTCTTGGCATGCCCCTAGAGCCAAATTTGTTCCTGTTGGAGTGACACCCACGTTAGCCAAGGCAGGTGTCACAGCAAGCATGCCAATTCCTGCCCGGTTTTCCATCTATCACAAGTAAATGTTATAGTTTTAGCACAACTTGCTTAGGGCTCACGCACAGTTGTTTCTATAAAGTGTCACGTGTTTTCCTAAGACCTCCTTGTTTCCCCAGCCTCTAGTAGACCAACACAGCCTCAGGAACATTTAGTAGGAAAATTTGTCCATCAGAACATTTGAGAAGAAAGATAGCACCAGTTTATTTAATTCCCACTCATTTGTACACATGTTGCATACGTAATGTTTTTAAATCTGAGGCACCTAAGCATGACACCTCCTTACCTTCTTTGTCTGGTAGTCACTGCCACTACTTGCGGAAGACACTGGAAGCACTGCAAGGAGAAAAGCTTACCTGTTTACTTGCAGTAACTGCATGCCTTATCTAGTTAAGGCTTGCATCGCAGCTAAATAATCCAGTTTTGAGTTTGGTTTTCTAGGCATTTACAAGAGAAAACTTCACAACACTTGCATTAAGCTTCAAAACCCCTTTCTATCAAAGCTTCTAAATGATGCAAACATACACAACTTGCTGCATACAGAGCAGTTGCCAAAGAAAGGGGCAGGCTCAGCAGCTTGTCTGATGGTCCCCAAGTCCCAGCCAGGGTGAGTGGGCTGGCACTGCAGCAAGAACAACAACTTCCACGGAAACACAGTATAAAGCATAATTTCTCCCTCAATTTTCTTTTGCTTTTTCATCCCTAAAGAAACCAACAGCTACCTGAGCAAGGCTTATCCTCCGTGAGAGGGACAGAGACATTCCAACTCTTTCAGGGAAATTCAGTTTGAATTTGGAGGTCCCAGCAGCCGACACAGCCACGGCGCGCGGCCACGGGGGAAGTTTGCTGTTGGTCAGGCCTGAGCAGAGGATGCTATCAGAGATTATCACATCTGATTTTGTAAATCACTGAAAGGACAACTGGCCTGTCAGCACATAAGCAGGGAAGCAGCGTGCCATGGTCTGCAAACTGTGTGGTTTTTCAAGGTTCATTCCCCAAGTCAACTGTATTTCTGGAAAGATGAGGAGGGAAAGTTGTAGGGAGGAGGTATGGCAGCTCCAGAGAGATCTTCCTCCTCTTGTATTCAGGAGCACCAATGCAGCCATCAGTTCAGCACCCATGGGCTCTTCAGCCCCATTACACAGAGGACTGCACCCATGCAGACATTTAGGTGCCCAATTTTCACCTGGACATTTGAACCCCAGTACATTCGCTGGAGAGAAGGGGACAGGAGCCCAGTTCTTTGAGCACAAGGATGCGTGATGCACCTCCTCCACAGGGCACCCCTCGCTGCCGGCCTTGAGCTTGCTCCCCTCTACTCGGTTCAGGACTCAGCCAAATCCTCCTTCTCAAACCATCATCAGCCATTTCCTTATCTGCAGTACAGTACGTCACGCATAGCTAAGTGTCAACAGGGGACCAAGCTTACCTTTTAATTTACTTCTCACCCTGGGCTTTTTTCGGGTATAGTCAAGAGATTTTGGCAATGACCGTTTCTGAGAGTCAAGGATCCAGCTTTTTTCACTCTGACCAGTGCTTGTATTTTCATTGTTGCTTTCAGAGAAAAGATGTTTCCTGTAACTGGACTAAAGACACTATTAAGAGTGAGTCCTGCTCAGTCAGCTCCATCCATCCACCCAGAAGCCCCCCAGCCATTCCCCTTCATTTACTACCAAATTATTCCATTTCTTCCTCCCCACAGTGCAATACCTGAAGTATTTTAAGCTGTGAAATCTGCCAGAACAGCAACAGTTAACTAAAACCAGTAGTATAAAAACATGGAAAGGCAGGTGCTTGCCCTTTGCCTTGTGGGGTTTGCGGCATCCTCCGTCCTCATCTCTCCCTCCCTCCCCTCCTGCATCCAAATAAAAAGCTCTTGCAAGGAGGATAGCCTTAGCATGCCTGAGCTGCAGCCAAGAGCACAGCGAGAAAAAACAGAGACATTCACTCACTGGTCTGGCAGTTCTGGTGCACCCTGAGCACTGCTTTCAGTAGCAACAAGCGGGCTATTTTGAGGCTCCCAGGCTCACATTCCTCCACCTCCGCACTGGGTAAGCCTTAAACTTCAGCCTCTTTAAGGGTGCAACCGATTCATACAGGTGGATGCACACAGCAATCAAAGGCTCTGGGGATGAAAAAGCACAGACAACCTACCGGCCTTCTCTCGAGCTTGTTTGATTCCTCGTTCTTGTTTCCCATTTCATAACTCCTGCCAAGTAGCCCATAAAGACCAGAGTTAGACTAGCAGATGCTGCGGTAGCACATCACAGCAGTACAGAAGGGGCACAGCCAAATAGCAATGGCAGGGGGCTCCTTAAGAGATCAGCAGGAGAACCAAACTGTTAATGCGCAGTCATTAGCCAAATTTTGCTACTTTCAGAAACCAACCAAAGAAGAAATCTGGGGATACCTGGAAATTAGCACCTTTTTAAAAGAAAAAATAGGCTAGTTAGAGGTGGCAAGTCCCTGGCAGCTTGCTATAACTGGAGGTGGCCAAAGCAAAGCAGAGGGTTTAAGCATTTTTCAAAAATTAAATCAGTAATTTAGGCATATGATCAGGGAAGGGGGATGTTTAAGAGTTAAAGTCTTATTATTGTCAAAGTGGACAGGAGTCATTATTCTCTCTCTCAGGTAGTGTTTAAATATTAGTATTGATTACATCCACAGATACTGTGGCAGCTAAGCAAGGAACTATTTTATTAGAAACATCACACAGCCTTTTTGATCCCAACTTAAAACAGTTTAACTAAGACAATGAACTCTTCTTTCACAGAGCAGAAGGTTCATAAATGGTGCATGTATAATCCTGTACCTCTGATTTTGTGAAGAAACTTTCTGGCCAAGAATCCTTCCTTTGGCTTCAGCAACCTAAAACAGAAGCAGACGTTTGTCTTAAAGTTCAATTATCCTGTAAAATAATCTACAAAATTAAAACGTATCAGGACTCAAGGACTAGAGGAGGAATGGATTACGAGTCCAGCATGGAAATTCAACTTTTTTAATGGAGTGGAATTTGTTGATTGAAACAGTGTCATAAGTTATAATAGACAAACACTTGTCTTCTTAAATGGAGTTACTTTCTCTTTTCCTTGGTTTGTGAATAATGCTCATTTTAAGCAATAACGTCATAAGAAATGTCATTTTAAGCACTAACACCGCTAGTAGCAGCGTGTTGTAAATGCAGCGCACGGTACCTGGACAGCCTTTGGACAGGGCTGCTGGGGCACTGGGCAGGGTACCATGAAGCAGGGTTTTATGCTGACACCCAGTGGCAGTAGCAAGGACTGGACAGTGTCCAGTTTATAACAGAAGTTTGGGGTGTCCCATTAAGCACCCATCACCTCTGAATTAACAGGCAGCAGTGACAGCACCTGCACCACGGAAGAGGCTGAAAGCCAAAGGGTTTGCACGGTGGAGCCACCTTGACAGAAGCCATCAGGAGCAAGTTTTCAGCTTCCTGGGAAAACCCACACTGGTCGAAGTTTCAAAGCAGTGACTCATTTTTATTCAATTTTTGTAACAGTCTGCAAATATAAGTCAAGGTGAATTTCCAACAGAAGTTTTGCAATGATTGGCTTTAACCAGGGATTTCCAACGTGCCAAGTGTGGCTCGAAACGGATTTCAGTCTCTTCTGGTTTAGCCTAGGAGTACAAAGTGAAGGATGCTCAATCTGCTTTCAATATTCAGTAAAATGCAAACAGAGGTTGGCCTTCAATTGCAAAGATATCCCACAGCCTCACTCAAGCAACAGCTCAAATTCCTAGTGCAGTTGGTTTTATCACACAGTACCCACCACGAGACTCAAGAAGTAATGAGCACTCTCCCTGCCCCAAAAAATATTTCCATGCATAGCCATATAGTCCATCCTTACTGCATTTCTGCAGTAAGACATATCCCCTGCTTCAAGCTACTACCCTCTGTTAGCTGCTGAGCTGGGACCTTAGCGCATCTCCTAACAGCTTCTGTCTCAACTTTACCTTTTCATGACTTGCAGAGTCTGAGTTTTCAAAGTCATAGATTTCCTTCCTGCAAGACAACATATATGTGGCAGTGGCATACAATCATGAAGAGTCAACCTATAGAACTTCACTAAGAATATGAGGGGGATAACGTGGTTTGTTTCTGCCCCCCTCCCCTATGAATTCTGTTATACAGTAAGCACTCAGATACTTTATATGCCTAAAAATGCTGTTTTCTCGGCTTCTAAAAAAAAAACAAACTTGTTCCTTTCCTACTTAGTCTCTATTATCGTCTGTCTTGATTCTGACTCTTTCAATTGTAAGTTTTTAATTTTAAGAGAAATATTCAGAAGATACAAGTTAGCCTATCCATGTTTATGTAGTGGACGTTTAGTTCTCACATCACCAATAATAGTACATGGTAGGAAGAAATCATGAGTGGAAAGATAATTTCAGAAGCACTTAAGAGAAAAAATCCATTTAATTCCCTTCTGAAAATTCTAACATTTAATGTTTGTTCTCTAACCACTGCTCTGTATGCATCTAGATTTTGTTTTCATGTCTTTCAACATTTAAACTTAACTGTACCTTTATTTCTTTCTCCAAATCATAACTATTTAAGAAGTCGTACAATTATTCCTCAACATACAGTACATCCTCCCCTTTTTACCAGCAAAAGAATAGGAAGACTAAAGAACTGAGCTCTTCTCGTTAAAGCTTCCTGAAGGAAAGAAACGCTCATTTTCATATGAAACACTAGAGGGAGCAGAATGACCAAACTAAAACCTTCTTTTCCATCTCAGACTTAGACAGTTCTACTCCGGTTTTACCACCGGTATTTGCTGCATCAAGTTATTTGACCTTAAAACCCAGAACCTGTAGTAATGATGAAGTTCTGCATCAATTTTTCCCACTCTTATCTGCAATCAAAAAAAAAAAATCATCTAAATATTTGGGGGTTTTTTAAGCTAAGAGTCAGCAGACTGAAGCAGGACACCCAAGGAAGCCCTGGAGCAGCCAGAACCGCAGCAGGGATCCTCGCGTACAGTTCATTTGCTCTCCTGCCCAGCAGCAGGCATTAACTTGCACACCACAACGCTTGGCAGAGAGCACAGGAGGAGCGTGCAACAAGACAGACTTCCAGTGCCACAGACTGTATACAGTCCTCAAACCCTTGAGTGCTTCTGCCCACAGTGCCACTAGCTTCGAACATGAGCAGACGGATGTATACGGGTGAGGGAGGGGGACAAACTGAGAAAGAGCCCATCCTGAAACTCTAGGATATGAGATGCCAAAAAACAGGACAACATCAGAAAAAGCTTAGGTATTTGTGAATGAAGCTGCCACTCACCACTCAACTCACTGGAGGATGGGAGAATTACGGTTGGGTGAGGAAAAATGGAAAAGTCAACGTGACATAGTATCAAAAAGCTGAGGGCATTTTTGGCTTCTGGTTAGCTTCTGAAGTCTTTATTGCTTTGGGGACCCAAAGGTTCCCAGTGAGACAAGTCATGACCCTTCATAGTCTCCTGCTCGTTTTGCTCTCTGTTCTGGCCCACCCCGTGGGCACTCCCTCCCCCCCATTAGTGCTAGAAATCGTCTAAAATCACCTGGTACACCAGACCCTGCATGGGCACAGGGCTCGTGTGTCATACCTGCCTTCCGTCCGCTGCTTGGCCAAACTTGTTTTTCTGTTTCTCTTTTCCCAGGTAGCATCCTTCTGAGAAGAAAATAGTTGCAGGATCTAAAACCATGACATGCTAAGTCATGTTTTTATCCTAGAGGCTGCTAAAAGCAGAGATAAGGAGTGCCAGGAAACTTTGTTCCTCCTATCACAACAACCATCCGGCTGCAATTGTTTCCTGCCAGGTTCTTTCCTACCAGAAAGTATGAGTCCTGGAGCTGAAATTGTGGGGACAAGGGGGTGTAGATACAGAAAGAAGTAGTTCAAAAGCTTTGAATTCATTGTGCAGTGGGCGAGTGTTACAAAACCTTTGAACCTTTGAGTTAAAATATAATTTTTAAAAAATCTAAACCTAGCACCTGGAAATGTAAGTCCAAGAATAAGCCAAAAATGTGATTTCTTATACAACCTAAGTACCTACTCCAAATTAAAATTATTGCTTTGGGAATTTAATTTCTCTCGTGTAGTGCATAGATTTTTTTTTTTTTTTTTTAATACCTGGACACAGCAACAGAAATTTCCAAGTGCTCAAGTTGTGTAAGAAACGCAACTGCAGATGGCTCTCAGCTACTTGTTATTAATTTGCCCAGATTGCAAGCTCTTACGCCAGGAGTACAGGGACAGATCTAGTGTGGGAGGATCATTAGAGCTCAGATACAAAACTGAATAAACATGTCTGTAGACTTCCAAGACTTGCTTCCCTTCAGGAAGCAAACCTTTGCTCCTGCAGACTGCGCATAAGTCTTGTGACATGCGAGTTTGTCCCACACAGGGCCAGGCTGGTTGCCCATACGCCATGCTCCTGGACACAAGCACAGCACACCGCTGCCAGGAGGTGTATACACTGAATAAACAGCTGAGCTTGAATTACTTGGTTGGGCCACACTAGAATGAGGTTGGTAGCTGTTGCCTCTGCAGCTCTCTCCCGGTGCTAAATGGCACATTACATCAGCTATGACACTACATGGGCTCAGGACACCACTCAAGGACAGGAGCGGGTCAAACCATCCCAGCTTTCTTCTGCAACTCCACCAGAATACCTCTTCCCTGCCCCATGTCTCTTCACTCAGGTGGGCCCCAAGGCAAACATACCTTTGGTGTTGACTCCTCCATGGGTTCTTCTTCTAGGGGCTTCTCACTGGGGACAAGAGGACACATGAGGGGAATGCAGTGCTGAGGGGCTGTTCATTTAAAGCACAAAGAGTCGGTTTGTGAAGTACTAAGAGGAGAAGAAACTTGCATCAATTAGCATTAAAGCAGTGGTTTAAAAGGCGTGTGGGGAAGAAAGCTAATCAGTAGCTCTACAGAAGTCCAACTCATTAACTGTAAGAAATGCTGTCCTGCAAAGCTCTTGAAAAAGGGTATTACTAATACCAAGGCGAACTCAAATTCGCATGATCTTTCACAAAAGTCATGGTCCTCATTATGAATAGCTACCTATCTGGTGAACTCTGGTTACACAGCTGAAGTTAAACTCTCTGTAATACAGCTGTACACTCATCTTGTATTTGGATTAAATCAATGATGAGAAAGAAAAGTCACAGCAAAGTAGCAGCCAAGCCAGTAACCAAACATCACCGTTCCGCAACCCCGAAGTGCTGTAACTCTGGGCAACCAGCCTTGCTAGCCAGGGTGGCAAAACAGAATCTTTTTTTCCATTTAATAATTGATGGAATAAACCCCAAAATCACATGCATTAAAAGCCCAGGGGAGGGAAAACAAACAAACAAAAAAACCACAGAAAAAACCCACCTTGCAAATTTTTGTCTGCAAGACACTCACCTAGGCTTAGCTTTCGTCCTTGGAGATGGAGTATTGGACTTTGTTGCTGAAGGAGGGAAGGAAACTACAGCTTCACCCTCTGGAGCTACTATGAAATGCTTTATCTGCTTTTGCTGTAAGGCCCACAAAAGCAGAGCCTTCACCGTGTCACCTGGGTGACACTTCACTGGGTCAGACTTAAAGAACTAAAGGGAGCCATGCCTGACCTGAGCCTTGGTTAGCATCTTCCACGTCAGTCTGCTGGCTCACTGTAATCACGGTGACACCAGAGTTAACTGTTTTCTGCTCGGAGACATGAAACCATGAACAGAGCATGCACGTGACCAATAAAGAAGCGGGTTTTGTTTTTTTTTAGGAACGGATTTTTTCAGTGCTAGCCTATGGCAACAGCTGGATGACAGGTTCATCATTAGCCACACATAAAAACATTTTTGGTTGCATATAAGTGATACTATAAGCTTCTCACTAAGAGCATCCCACCATCCCCTTATAAGAGGGAGTAAAATGTCATCTTTCTTTTTAAAGCAGTTTTGCCAAAATTGCAGCTCTGGAGGTAAGTGTTTGGGCTGACTTCCCACCAATATAAGATGGAGTCTGAAACCATTGTCGGATCTGGGTACAAACCAGTTTTCTTTGACAGAAGGTTTTAACCACACCTATAAAAAAAGCAGACTGGAGGAGGGGGAAAAGGGGCACAAGGACGGTTTCACCATACATCAAACGCTTACTGCTACAGTGCCTGTTAACTGCTGGCTGTGCTGAGAGGCTAAGTTGTCTGACAGATTCTCCATGTTTTCAGAGTTTGAAGGATCTTTCCTCCTCTGTGGATTAGTGGTCTCTGGTATCACTGCAGAACAGCAATCGGGGTGAGAATGTTGTTGCAGTAATTGAACACACACACACACCACCACCCCTTTGCATTCTTACACACGTGCATAAAAGCATAACAGTACAACTTACTAGGCACAAACATCTCAAGATCATGTTTAATAGAACAAAAACATCAAACATCTCCAAATTACCCAGTGCAGAATTGCAATGCTAAATAAACAGCATCTTGAGCCTACCCCTTCTAAGCCCCTCGTACTATATGCATACATATAAGTTTATCATCTTATTGCTACCTTGACTCTTAGCTCTGGAAGACATGGAACAACCCTTTGTGTCTGGCTAAAGCAACAGAGCAGTGGGATCGTCCACCATCTGTTTCCCTCCATTGAATCTCCAACTGGGCAGTGCAAAAGTTGTTTCACTACAGATGAACTACCTTCTGCCCTTTGTACTCCTTGATTGCTTCAAGTAGTAGTGCCCACCTTGTACCTCTGTGTGTGCTTCATGGTGGACGCTGATGAAGGAGCTTCTCCCTCACCTGCACCTCCAAAATCTGGAGGACTTCCATTCTAGCTCGTTTTAGGTTGTAACTGGAGGAAAATGGGAAGGACTACTGAAGAAGTTACTACCTCGGACATCTAGAGCTGGAAGTAGCTCTTTCAAATATTCACCTGGAGGAATCTGAAATGCACAGTAACTAAGAGGAAAGTAAAAATTTGCTTTTAACATTGGCACAGAAAGAATGATACCTAACCTAAGGGCTCTTCAAACTTGTGATTCATTTCTGAGACCATGGGTGGTAGCAGTAGAAAGAGAGCTGCGAGTTCATTGTCTTAAAAGATACAGAAATATCTGTTAAGCAAGTTACACCAAGGAATGATCTACAAAAAAAGTAATCACTTTAAAAACTGAAATACGGCCAATTTTGCAGCAAGGACATATCCCAGCCTTCAAACAGAAAAGATCACTATACAGAAAAAAGCCACTTCCCAAGTACTTTGATACCAAAATTGAGCCAAGGAAACATTTCCTGTTTAAGACTAATTTTGGTCGTGTGCACCTCTTTTGCTTTTGTGTGAAAGCAGCTTTTCCTCAAACTGTGTCATGGCCTTGGTGGGGATTTACAGAACTTCTGAGCAGTATAGAGGTGGGAAAAAGAAGGAGCTGATTTCTCTTCCCCTCGGACCATTGCTAGGCTTGGATCTTCCTTTGGGTAAGGCATCCAAGCGTTATGCCTGTGCTTCAGGCTCCGTGTTCCCTCAACATCTATCATTTGGAACAAAATTAAACTCAGCCAGAAGATCCTTGAAAGAGACATCTTGCAGAAGATATTTGCTGGCAGCATGGGAAGTGACATCATTTGATCACAGAAAATTCCATGTGCTCAATTCAAAGAAATATAAAGCATTGGCTGTAGGCTGGTGAGAAGAAGGAAATGATGACTATCCCAGGTCCAGCTAAGAGCCTTTCGTACCGTAAGGCACGCGGCTACACTTTTGTAGTTGGGGCACACACAGAGACAACCCTTCAACACAAGGTATTTATGGCAGCACCCACAATCCCTCTGCATGGGGCAGCGGGTCACCTCCTACAGAGAGGAGCTGTGCCGCTGCTCATCTCTCTCTACAAACAGGGACTGCGGGTGAGCTTTTCTGCTCCCCTGGCTGCACTTCCACAACAGCCCCAGGCATCTCCAGGATATCATCCACTCCACGTGGGGTAAGGGGATTGGAGCGCACCGTTCTCTATCACATCACCTTGTTGAGAAGAAACAGAAGTCGCCTCCCTGCAGGAAGCATTGGTAGAGACTGCCCCACCACAGGCACCCCCCTGCGCAGAGGAGAGCACATTAAGTGCCAAGGTGCAAGCGCTGGTCCATCAGAGGACCTGTGCTTCCATGGGCACACAGATGCCACTGTCCCCTCCTGCAGGGAATCGCCCACAGGCACCCACGCAGCACAGCCAAACCAGGAACCATGCATGAGGCAAACGAGGGAGGCTAGACAGGTGCATCCCACTGCACCGCACCTGCAGGTGGAGAAACACTACTGCACACACTTTGCGTGTCAGAGGTCAGCCAGCAGCTGAGATGCGCCTTGCCAGGCTACCTGTCAGCGCACAGATCCCGTCTCCGTGAGCAGTTCCCCTGCCCATGCAATCCCAGCGGCACATGGCCACGGCGCCCCATCACGAGGGAGGCTAGACAGGTGCATCCCACTGCACCGCACCTGCAGGTGGAGAAACACTACTGCACACACTTTGCGTGTCAGAGGTCAGCCAGCAGCTGAGATGCGCCTTGCCAGGCTACCTGTCAGCGCACAGATCCCGTCTCCGTGAGCAGTTCCCCTGCCCATGCAATCCCAGCGGCACATGGCCACGGCGCCCCATCCTCGCTCCCTGGGATAGAGGGACTCAGTGTCCGCCATGAACACCAGTTACCAAGCTCATGAGATACAAACAGTAGAAGACTGAGCTTGGGGGGTGCTTTTTTTTTTAATGTGATTAACTGCAAGCGAAGATACTCATTTTAAAACTGAACAATTTAAATTTCATTACATAAAATAATAATTTAAAAATTCACCTGCTTCATTGCGCCTGGCTTGCTTCCCAGCATGGACAGACTCCTCTTCAGCCACGTTTATCTGGTGATGTGAATTAATCTCATGTGAAAGTGACCTTACAAAAAGTAGAGTCTTTACCTAGTAAAGTCAGCTACTTAATAACGAAACTAACAGTTGTTAATCGCCAGCAACAAATCATTGGCAAATCATTGGATGCTAGTTGAGTTGACCATTTGGAAAGGTCTTGGCTCCTGCAAGGATAAATGACAGCCACTATTTACAGCTATTTACTGTTACGTAAGGTTTTCTGCAAACCCCACGGTCTGAGGATGAATCACAAGTATAAAAAATTCACCATATTAACATTTACCAAAAAAAAAACCCAACCAAAGCTCCACACACATCCTCTGTGTTTTTACATTAGCTTATAAAAAACTTGAGGCTTGAAAAGTACTCTACTTTTAATCTAGAAGTACTACCTACAAAGTTAATCTAAGATCTGTGTCTTGCAGCATCCCTTTTTTCTTCTCCAGTTTCTCGTGTCACAATTTGCTCATCCTGTGCAATGTAGCACTTTGAGCTGGTGTAAGAGCATGTTTATACTTCAAGTGATGCAACTAAATGCCATAGGTTTTATTTCCTACTTCAGAAACTCAGCAAAAGTAATCATATCACACTGAATTGATTAACAAGCCAGTCTAACCTTCCAGCTTCTAAACCATAAATTTGAGTCCCTTGAAATTTCTTTCCTGAAGTCTCTAATCTCCCTTTCAGGCCAAAGCTAAGAATGCCTATCCAGAGAGATACAAATCCTCAAGGGGAAGACAGATATATAATAAACAGACATGAAAAAAAAAAAAACCAACAAAAAACCACACTGAATGTTTTTGCCCAGTGTATATCAAGTAAAATATAGTTTAGAAAAGAAAAAAAAAACCTCACACACTAAGAGCTTACCATCATTTTTTCATCTCCCAGGACTTTTTTAAGTACACTTAAGATCTCAAACTCAGCACTGAAAGATATTTTGATTTTTGTTGCTTCTGTTTTGTTAAGAGTAGCAGGAATCTTCATGTAAATTTTAACAATCTTTTCTCCATCACCCTCTGCGTAAAAAAAAAAAGCAGTTAAATCTGTTTTAGAGCAAGACGTTCAGTCTATCACCCCAAAAAACATTTGAAAGAGTGCTTGGGTTTTTTTAAAAGTGTCTCTTTTACAACTTGCCCACACATTTCCAATTACTCTGTTCACCCATTTCTTTTTCATTGGTCTAGGTGATTACGCTATTCCCTAGCACATCTATAAACTGAGCCCTCAACATGACCTGCTTGGGTAGGGAGGGTAGGTTATTGTGCTGAACGGGCCCTCAGACAGTCCAACAAGCAGAGCTGGTGCAAGGTGAGCAAAGCGCATGACAGGGAGAGGGGAAGACACAGGAACTCTCTTCAGTGACGGTGAGATTTTAGGTTGGCTCCCTGTGTCTTGTGGGCCCACAATCAAACGGAGGATAACGCTGGTTGGAAAACCTTACCCTTCAGGCTGTAACTGCTGACTGCTTCTTTCGACAGCCTCACAGAGTCCCAAAGAGCACCCTTTGAAAACCAAAGCCACCACATCAGAAGGGCTGAGCGAGCACCTGCTGCGTTAGGCTAACCCAAGGCCACGTGGGCTTTGCTGTTACCTCGTTACTGTCCACATAGAAAGTCACACTCTGGCTGCCGGTGTTGAAGTCAATCCAGAACTCCTCCAGCTTCTCGTCTGACGGCTTCTTCACCTGGGGAAGCACAACAGCAGTGCTGCCATTCCCAGAAAAACCCCACAACTGCTGTCTTATTCTCAGTTTTCTTTCACAAGACGGAATTGGAAAAAGTTGTCCTACATAGGTGTGTACACATATGCATACCTTACAGAAATAAGAGTTGGGATCAACCTGCGAGTTGCCAGCCTACCGCTCACCCAACCGTACCCACAAAGTCAGACGTGGCTTTACATCAGCCAAGGGAAAGGCAATACACAAATGCTCGCATGTTTGTGGCAGGAAAGAGTCTGTGAAAGTTTTCTGTGTTTCTGAGCACTTGAAATAAGCAGAAGCAGTGGAACTGGCTTCCACAGATTTGGTTTTGATTCGATAGAACTGTCAGGAACGGTGCCACAAATACATTTACTACAAAACCAGTAAAGCAATCTGCAGGATCTGTAACTGCGGCAGGCATCAGGCTAATCTTGTTTTCTGGCAGTCTGGGAGCAGCTCTGCCGGAGGACTCAGAGTTGTCCTGTCCTCCTGTTTCCTTTTAGAGATCTCTCTTCTGTCATCACCATGAAGAGAAGCGCTGGCTCTATCATTTGGCTGATACAAAAGCAAAGTCAGCAGCAGTAAGTTGGGAGCTAAGTGACAAACAAGCACGCTTTCCAACTAGAATAGGTGGTTACATTCTACACTCCAGAAAATTAAGCTCTCTAACGAAAAACAGGGAGGAAGAAGAAAAACCCAGAAAACACATACCACAGAGAGTAACATTTTAACAGCGGTAACACTGTAGGGAAGGTGTCGCAGTGTTAAGGACTATTACCTCGTTCATGTCAGCAAAAGCAGATATGCAAGGAAATGAATAGACTCTGGAAGAAAAGCAGACTTCATGTGATACACTCAACATTAGAGTCTGACTTTATGAAAGATAAAGTCATTAAGATAGGTTACTAATCTTATTGTTCAAAAAAATAAATTCCTAGAAGTAAATTAAGCTTGGAGAATCTTAGAGAATACAGTATTTTAGTAGCGATGCATTGTCTTCATTGATTCTACTTTCAAAAGAACCACCATTAAAATGAATAAAATCTCTTTCTTAAGAACTTAGTTATTCACGTGATGTAAATCCTTTTTTTTTTTAAATATAACCCAAGTCAGTTTACAATCCTAGTTTTTCCCCTCTGCAGTAACGACGGCACCAGTTTATTCTGTTGGTTCACAGCTTACCTTCTTTCATTCCCAAACCTTTCATTTAGCTGGTTAAGAAATTTTCTGCAGTCCTTCAAGACAAATGACATTTTATTGAAAAATCAGGCTACATTTCCTTTGCAAAGAGTCATTCTGTTAAGCTGTGTAACCTCTACTCCAGTTATAACCTTTTAACTAGTCAGTGTGATGCCAAAGGCCACTGGGGAAGAAACACTCAAGTTGCTACAAATGGTTGAACCCAACTTATGACCAGCAAGCCTACAAACATAAACCACAAAAATTAACTTAGTTATGCTTTAGAAGTAAAATAACTTAGAAATAAGAGCTATTTTAACAATATACCATTTTATATTTGCCAGATTAAAAAAAAAAACCACCACCATCCACAAATAACTAAACTTTGTGTATTTATAAAATCAGTTTTGTAGGAACTTCTTACAAGGACATCCTGACTGAACTCAACCAAAACTAGCCCCTATACAGACTTGTCAAGTATGTTGTTTTCAAAATAAGGACCCTCACCGTCTCAAATTCTCTATCCTTGATCTCTTTGAAAGCTTCAGCAAGATAGCTATCTTCAAACCAGTGGTGAACAAGGTCATCCCTCCATTTTTTTGTCATTAACCTACAAAGTGCTTCTGAAAGGGCAACCTGAAGGTCATAATCTACACGGTAAACATAAGCACAGGATAAATACGCCCCCCCCAGCATAACAGAGGGTTATAGCATTCCTACTCTTGCACAAATACATGATACAGTCATATTCATCAGCTAGCTTCAGTTTCACCTAGGATAACAGCAGAGGGTAACAGCCAAGCGTTAGTTCCAGGCATCCTCAGCTCCCTCTGGCTCAGCGAGGTTGAGGTGCGGAGCGCTGCTAACCACGCACGTGCGTCGGGAGATGTTCTTGGGGATCAGGGAGGGTATGAGAGCAAAGCCTCATCACTAACTCACTACGATTAAGTTACATTTCACATACCACAGTAACACCCTAAAAAGTGTTATTGCTAGGAGAAAACAAACAAGATTTCACTCAAGAAGCTATACACCTTATTAACTGAAGTTTTTCCACATGGTGGCAAAGTGGTTAAAATTTATTTTTTTAAAGACTAACAGCAAGCATACTTTGTAAACACGTACATAAAGCTGATCTAATTACCTTTCGACATACATCAGTTTAGCTTTTCTTATTAGTTAATATGAATTACTAATACTAACCAGAAAGAACTAATGCATTGTTGCATCTAACAATTTTTGATTAATATTTTCTTAAAGTACCATCTGATTTTCATCCCCAAAAATCAACTATCTACATGGAAATAATTTAAATTATAGTTCATCTATAATAAATAAGCAGATGAAGTAAAGCTGGAGAACCCCAGCTTCATAAGAATAACCACTAAGTACTTCTTACCACCAACCTCCAGTATAGTTTTTGCAAGGTCTTTCCTGAAACGACATAATGCAACGAGTTAAAGTGGAAATAACTTTAACTCCTGTAGCTAACCACCATCTTCCCTGCAACAAGAGTTGGAGGGGAAACCACTTACGTGAGTGAGCACATCTCTTCAGACAGAGGGAATTTCTTCCTTTCCTCCCGTGAGACACTGTCGAGTATAGAGTTGAGGGTCCTCAAAGCCTTTCCCCCCACAGAGGAAGGGGCAGAATAGGAAGGGAAAGAATTCAGTAACACATTCTTCACATTTTTCATCTAATTACACACACTTGTGTGCACATGTATCTGTATTTTCTTCTCCTAGTAGGAGTCTTACCTCCTGCCGCAGAGTGCAGCAAATATTTGCTTCTGTCACTAGATGCCCTAGTTCAGGTAAAAATAAATTCACCAGCTCTTTCTTCCCTAGAAAAATCATTGAAAGGTTACAGCTAGCAATGAGCTGGTCTCCGCATAAAAGATAGTTGAAGCAACTACAGTTTGTGGTGTTGAAGGAGTAAAAATATCCCAGCTGGGGATTCAGTTTTGAACAAAGTTTACAACTATCTAATCCTAGACAGAAAAGGGAACTTGTAGCTTCTCTGTATAAAAAGCGCCAGATACTTTAACTGCTGACCCGGGTAACTATTTAAATATGTAGAGAAAGGAGAAGCTACTTACTAACCGCAACAGATAAATCCGTAATATACAGCTTTTGACAAAGTCAACAAAGCAAACCACTAGAGTATTAACCAGAAGACGCTCATGCCCGCTCTGCTCCCGCTAGAATAAGCTACAAGGATGAATAAGCTCAAGTTACCCGGCCCACAATATAATGCTTCATTTTTACATGACTTGTGAGCCTGGATATCTGGGCACACAGATACTTGCTCTTCCTGAAAGCACCTGCTCCCCTGCCCTAATGGAAAGCCAGCTGCCGCCACAGACAAAATCTTGCTGCTGAAACGAATGAGACAGACAGACATCCCTCCGCCTAGTTAGGTTGGCTGGAGGAGTTACCACGTTATTCTGTGGAGGTGGTTGCCTTCAGCAAGGGAATAACATCTGAAGCCACTAGGAACAGATGTGCAAGAGCAGACTGTCTAGCCTCAAGTCCTTTCAGAAGCACCGTTTATTCTGACCAAGTGAAATATTTGATGCCGACCATTTAAACAAGATACCACAGCTAGATTTTCTTTTTCCAGCATATTCAAAACAAGTAAAGAAAGAGAAACAGTAAAAGGTTTTGTGCTCCGAGGTTAATGAAAGTTAACTGGAGGGAAATTAGCAGGAGGATTTAAAGAAAACATTGCAGAGAGGAGGAGGGGGAGATAGGGGGTGGAAGGAAGAACAGAAAGGGGATAGAGTTCGAGCAGAATTAAGAAACGTGCTCCCAAGACTGAGATTCAGGATATCAAGGAATGGAAGGAAAAACAATACTGACCTTCATTACTACACCTGCAAATCACCTGATGAAAAAAGTAAAGGAAGCCTTCGTTAACACACCACAACCCAAGAACAGCAGTACTCAAAGTGCTGAGGCATTTATGCCCCCACTGTCACACCTTTCAGGGGCTAAAATAACATAAAACATTACCGTACCCACATCAGGAAAAGCAGTGCCACCTGATACAGGTATATCACGTATGGTCGCCCCGGTCATACAGGTTGGCATTATGCAGGGAGGGTAAAGGGAGTGAAGCACCCACTTCCCCCAGCGATTTCAGCAGCACCCGAGAATGCAGTGCCCCCAGGTTCCCTGGAAAACCCACATTGTGGCATTGCTTCATTACTTTTATTGCACATATGGGCCTATGTAAAATCACATTTTATGTTTACACACTACAGTACTAGGTATCTTAACATATGATATCTGAAGAATGTTAAAGTCCATTGAGAAAAATTAAAAATCATAATTAAAAAAAAAAACACAACACAAATAAAACAACACTTCATCCTCCACAGTGAAAGCATATGGAAGAAAGGGACCAGGAAGACAAAGAAATCAAATTCTGACAAAAAATAGAGTATTTCATATTGTTTCAATGTGGTTAGTAGAGAAAGAAGAATATTTGATTTTGCTCAGATATCTTTTATCAAGTCTCCTAAGAAGTCAGAAGTATTCAAACAAATTCCGATGCACAAAGTGACACAGTTCCAGTAAGCTACAGACAAAACTGGGGGAACAGCTTGGGGAAAGAAGCTAAAAGCATTCTTCCTACTGAAAATTTACATCACTAGGCCTCCAATACCTTTAAAGTTATGAATATTTAAAATAGAAACCTAAATGAGAATTGTAAGCAGTTCAGAGAATCCTTTAAAAGTAAATCAGCTGTTTCAAACACCGTAGGAACAAATCGCCAGGACGACCTTGGCAAACACATTTGCAGGTAAGGTGCAGCTCAGTGGCAGCAACTTGGGTTTTTAAACAAGGGCTTCAGCACAAATGCTTTTGCTTACAAAACGCATCAGAACTTCTTGCAGGTTTTCCTGCAAAAACAAACACTTGGCTTCATGTTAGAAAACGAGAAAATGCTGCAGCCCTGTGCAGGCCCAGGGCAACTTCTCCCAGGTGCATCAAACCTCAGCCTAATGCCAGCCCAGAGCAGGCTCCTGGGCACTGCCCATCCCCACCACCTGAGCTGCGTCCCAGGCTCAGTCCTAGAGCACAAGGTCTGTGTAATTATGTATTTTTTAACAGAAAGCTATCTGTGAACAATGGCTTTCTTATCCAGTAAAGGCAACCTTTCTGCCCCCTTAGTGCACGTACATACCAATGCAGAGTCAAAGAAGTCTTCAAGAAGTAACATCAAAAATTTATTCTCGTCTGGGTCGATGAGGATCACAAATGCTCTTGCTCTTTCAAACCAAGATACCAGGTAAAAGTTAAAAGAATCAGTTAAAACCTGGGAAGAAGAGTTAATAATCCTTAAACTAGATATATCTGCAGGAAACCTTACGCACATAGACAGTTTTTTTAGTCCTTGAACTTCAGAGTCACATACTGTGTCAAAAGCTACACAGCATTAAGGAGCTCGAATTTTGCTAGGAGGACATGAAAAGGTTCCCCCCCCCCCCCCCTTATCCCCCCCCCCCCCACTTCCCTCCCCAGCCCTCCTTTTATTCTCCCTTTTCATCTCAAGGCACCCACTCTTGGTGCTCAGGAGCTCCTTGACACAATACACAGTGCTAGTGGCATCATAACTCCTATGGAAATTTCTAGAGGACGTCACTTCACCATGAAATAACATTTTAAAAATTCATCAAGCTTTTTCAAAGTCATTATTTTAATATTTTATGTTATTAAACATATTGCATAGTATCACACACCCATGGCTAACTAGAAATCTATGCTTCACTGGAGGTACAGAGCTCAGATTGGTGAAACTTCATTAATAATCTATCCATACAGGAATTTTGAGCAACTGTATCCCTGAAAAGCATAATTACAAGGCAGGATTACAACATTTTGGACTGAGGACTCCTTAGTACAACTCTGCCAACAGAGAGCAAGTGTTAATGTTCCCTTCTAGCTACATTAGAGGTAGGTATTACTCCTCTTAGGCACAAGTGCATTTCTGCTACTACAGGTATTACCAGCTGAAATCAGTATTGTGCCATTAGCAGATAAAATACAATTGCAGATTGAATGCATCTGGTTTACTATGTATCTAAAAAGGGACCTTCATAAAGAGCATGTCAGCTTTTAAAATTATAAAAGCACAAATTGTTCATCAATTCTATTACTAAAATTGTGTTTTGCTGGAGCACTTAAAATGTATTTAGAAATTCTGTATCATTTCACAGATGGGACTCAAACTAATCTTCTCCTTCCACTGCCAGCTTGACCCCCCCAACCCCATTAAGTCAGGTGGTAAGTGAAGCCACAATGTTAGCTGCTGTACTGAAAGTAACACAATGAAAGTAACCATTTTTTCCCATTCAGCTTATGCAATATATTAAAAAAAATATTTTGTTTCTGCATGGCCAACAAGCCACCCTCTAGTTCTCACTTCCTTGGAGTTCTTTTCCTGATGCAAGCAACCTTAAATCACATTAGTAGCTTGTATATAGTGTTATACTCATCTTTTCTACCAGTCCTTGCTCAATAAACAAACTCGTCCCTTCTTGAAGATCACTTTTAAAGTAGAGCTGAATACATTTCAGCAGCAGTGAAACATTCTGGAATTCATTCTTGTCCAGCTCCTACAGAAACACAGAGCACTGAACTTTATTAGTCTGATACCCATAGAGCTGGGCGTTAAGATGGTTAAGATTATTTATGGTACTCGCCTTTCTCAGTACTTTATCTAGCTGGTTGAAGAGAGATTCGCTGTATTTCTGGGGAGGCTCTATTTCTCTCTCCTGAAGCAGTTCGCTTATTTTCTGAAATCCCTTCCCCTTAAAAGCATCAGTGAGAAGGGATTCGAGCTGCGGAGGGAGGGGAAGCAAACCACTAGCGATTAAAATAAGCGGGCATTTGAATCGTCATAGCACTGATTATGAGAAAATACTTGTAATGCTATTTTAAAACTTGTAGGCTTTTTGTTTATTTGTTTTTACTTCGTTTGTTTCTCTACTTTCATTTTACTGTTACATCTGAAGGTGAAACTTCAGTCTTCATCTCCAAAAGAGACAGGACCTTCAAAACGGAGTAATCTTAAAGGATACTGAATAAGGAAATAAGCAACTCCTTTAGCGCGCTCAATTTGTAATTCTTACCATGTCCCACAACTATTACAATCATTTCTTCCTACTTACTAAAGAAAAGATTACGGGGTCTGCTGCACTTCCCACGTTACATTAAATTACTAAAAATTCTAGGTCATGCCATATCCATTTAAGAATACACATTTAAATATGTATACAACTATTTGTAAGATACAGCTAAGGATGCATTTAAAAAGGTATTTACATAGTCTCCTGTTCTGGCTGCCATGCTGCCGTTCACCTGTCTAGTCCGTTCCTCGCTTTTTTCATTCCTTTAAAAAGAAAAGGGAGAGAAAAATACAGAAAAAATCCGCTTTTTCTGCCCAAAAGCTGAAGACCATTTACTCACCCTCTGTCTCCCAAAAGCCTGTTTTTCCTTCCTTATTTCCTAAGGAAAGTTTCAAAATCGCCCCACACTTCCCAACTGAAGGTTTGCCAAAGCCGCGACCACCAGAAGCCATAGCGGGTCCCCGT